AAGCACAATCAGAAGAGAGACTCAGAATTCCCCTCAAAGGTTTTTTTTTTGTTTTTTTTTGCATTTGAGACACACACAGCAAGCCCCGAGCAGAACAAAACTGGGTCAGCTGCAACCTGGAGGATATTACAGCATCCTCTCGGCTGGTTTCCACTTGGAAGAGATCTTACAAGCATGAGGCCTGCTGCACCCAGCTGCCCATGGTGGACTCCTTGGCTGGACACAGCGAGGGGTAAAAAGAAGCTTTTCTTCTGTAAAGTCAAACAAACAGAAACAAAAGCACAGAGGGAAATACAGCAATAGCCAATCCCAGATCATGAACCCCTCTCTCCCCCCTCACCTTAAAGTGCCCTCAGGATTTCGAGTAGTCTCAGTCAGCCCTTTGTGACTGGGACATACACAGTCATGCCTAGTGGTCAGAGCAGGAGTCAGGCCCAGGGTTAGAGCAGAAGGCAGTAACCAGGAACCAGAGCCCCGGGTCAGTCCAAGTCAGAAATCAGAAGTTGGAGTGGAGGGTCAGAGCTGGGTTACCTGCAGTAAGGCAAGGCAAGGCAGGGAACACTGAGTTGCAGGACCTATCACAGCCATAGGCAAATGCTTGGCGCAGCCACTGAACTGCTGCTGAGTTTAAGAGCCGGTCTGGTGACCCTTTTGACCAATCAGGCAGTCTACTACAGGCCCCCTGTGCTCACTAGGTTGCCTGGAGACTGGCTCTGCAGCAAACCCTGACTCCTGACACAATCCACATCTTTGAAGCAATTAATTTTTGCTGGTCACTCAAGGCAGGTTCACCTCCATGCAGAGTGCAGCCTTGCCTTTCTACAAGATAGCAGTTTGTTATTCGTATCTAGGTCTTGTACCAAGAGCTTACCCAAGGCACTGCTGATAGACAGCCCTGGAGTTCTTGATTTAGTCACAGACCAGGGGGCACAGGCTGAGCCACGTTAGCAGGGCAGGGTGGATGCAGCTCACGCTGGCGCTGGCACTGCTGTCCCTGGGCTCTGTGATTAAGCAGAGTAGTTCGGTCTGCTGGGTTGCCAACCCTGCCTGACAAGCCTGGCTTGCAGGGAAGGGGGCAGAGGAGATGGCATTTTCCCCCCAAAGGAAAGGGGCTGCCTTGATGGAAAAATTCACCACAGCGAGCAGTTTGAGGAAAGGGATCAAACACAAGATGCATGAGGGAGGCGCTGTAGGGGGCATACACTTGGCTTAATGAACAGGGCAAAATGGCCCCCTTCAATCATCTTATAGTTAACCACGCGTCTGCCATAGCTCGGAGAAGGTCCAGTGAACGGTAAGGCAGCAGCATGGGAAGAGCACTACATGGGGCAAGCTCTTTTAATAGGTTACACTCTCTCCATCCCAAGGCACTTAAGAGTTACAGGGAAAAAAAAAAAAGGATGCTATGCAGCAGCTTCTAACGGCCCTTATGCTACCCAGGAGACATTACTGCTCATTCAGCCACCTCCCGCTTTCCATACACGACACAAGGGTCTTCCAGACCTCAATCCATTTCAAAAATCAGATCTAAATCGGAGCATCTATCGATATTCTGTAAGGGACAGCCTAGAAGAGCCCCCTTTCCACAGAGGGGAGAGGAGTGGAGTTCCCATCTCTCTAGGGACACAGGTGAACTACCCACCACCACCACATCTGGGCATCAGCTTGAACTTCCTGCTTTCGAACCAGGACTCTTCCCCTCCCCCCTCCACCTGCCCCCTTCCTTCCCCCCCCCCCCCCCCCCCCAACGTGCTCCAGCTGACCGGAACCACACTGCTCCAGAGCAGACTCCTCACTGCATTTCTTCCCTGGCCCTGACTCTCACTCCCAAACTCCGGCCAGCATCCACCCACTGCTGCAGGGCAGGGAATGCGGCAGGCTGAGCCAGCACCTTCCCTTTCCCCTCTCCCCTCTTGAAGGGGGATCCAAGGACAGAGCAGCGGAAAAACACCTCCCTTAATCCACAAGGTCAGCGGGAAAGGAAAAACACTACTCAAATCCCACAGAGCGTCAAAGCTCATCCAGGGCCAGGCAGTGAGAGAATCGAGTAGGGACCATTCAAGTTTATCACGCAGGCAGGACCAGCTCTGGCTCCCCAAGAGCCTATGCGCGCTCTAGGCTGTCACCTTGGCTGAGGATCAGAGTGGGTTGTGAAGGAGCTTTGCCAGCAGCAAAGACTGCACATGGTGCCTTTCCCCAGCACTGCAAGGGAAATGGGAAGAGGCAGGGGAGGGAGGGACAACACGCACCGACTCGGCACGACAGCTCGGCCTCCATGTTCGATGATCTGGGACCTTTTATTTGAATGCAACAGATTAGGACTGAGTGGCATCTTCCGTACTTTATTCATTCCTAGCGGTATCTAACTTGGAGCATCGCCCAGTACAGCCCCAGAGTCCCGGTGCGATCCATTACTGCAGTGCATGCCATGGCACTGGGGCCAGGCAGCTGTTCATCACTTTGGGGGGGGGGGGGTCTATAGTTTTATATCTGCACTATTTCACAATGAAAATGAAGAGGGGCTGGTAGCACTGGCTACTGCCAGGCACACGATGGGAGTAAGGGCTCTCCCAACCCTGCTCTAACACAGCAGAGTCTTAAGTTAGATCCCGGCTGGCTATACTAGTCCTGGGCCTCTCTCAAGCAGAGCCTGCCAAATCACCCCCTCCCCGCCCCCCCAGTGCCTGGTGGTTTAGTGATGGGCATAAATGCAAGGCAATACGTAGCCGAGACCATATGCAATTGGATTCTCATGCCACCTAGACCAGACTCCAACCAAGCTAGCTAGAGCCAAGTGAGTAAACTGCACAAGCTATTTTGCGGTCTCCAAGAAAGACTCCAAGATGGTTTGGGTTGGAATATGAAAGCTCGCAGCTAACTGCAGAAATGGAGCTTTCCCAAGTGAATGCAGTGCCTGTCCCTGCCACAGCATGCATTCAGGAGCAGCCAGAGGTGCAGGAGAGACCTATTAATCCCAACCACAACAACCCCACAACCACAGCACTGCCCACCTCCTCCCCTATGCAAGGGAACCAGGAGGCTAAGAGAAATCAAAACTGGAAGTCCACTCCCAAAGCTGCAGACAAAGACCTACTACACTGCTGTACATGACTCCAAACACAAGCCATGCTAACCAGCTGCATCCCAGCCTATGTACTGCCTGGGGCTGCTTGTCACAACAAGTCAGATAGTCTCGGGGTGTGCGGAAGCTTCAAGGTACAGTCCTTTCCTCTTCTAGTCAAAGCTCTAGCGCCTTCATGGGTAGGATCCAGCCTTCCTAATGCTGAAAGACTCAGGGTTAAACATTGATCTGCCACGATGCTAGGTACATTGAAGTGTAGGCTGGCCAGAGGATGCTATTTCTCTGCCAGTCTCAACTGATCGCTCTCTGGATCGCCTGGTTGAAAAGATACTCTAACGGTAAATGGCTGTAAAAAGCAACAGAGGGTCCTGTGGCACCTTTGAGACTAACAGAAGTATTGGGAGCATAAGCTTTCGTGGGTAAGAACCTCACTTCTTCAGATGGTAAATGGCTGGCAGCCCCAGGCCATTCTTCCTTCCTTTCAACATGATCCTTCCAAAGCCTGCGGCGCCTTCACTAGTTTGGGGCCTTTAGTCCTCAGATAACCCAATGTTAATAGCAAGTTAACAATCTGCAACATCTTGTGCTCTGCAACATCTGGGCTCAGAACCAATGCAATCACAGCTCTGTCTCCACTCCAAGCGTCAGACTTAGCTACTTGGAACAAGGACAGATTCTCTCCCTGTTTGTTCACAGGGCAGAATAGTCACAGCTACTGAAAAAGAAACTTAAAATCTAAGGAAAAAACCCATGATGAGTAATTACAGGACTATTGGATGGTGAATCATATGGATCCTCATGTATGAACATTAACTTCTTGTTCTGGGGTCATTAAATCACTAAAAAGTCACATACATAAAAGGCATAATGGGCCAGACCCTCAGCAGGAGTAAATCAGCGTGGCTCCATTGAAGTCATGAGCTACACTGATTACACCGTCTGAAGATCTGGCCCTGTACATTATGTGGAACTGATGAATCAAAGAATTAGTAATGGGATATGGAGCTTTTCAGCTGTAGGTCCCTAGTGCAAATCCAGCTCAGGTAGCTAGTGGTCAAGAGCTGTGACCCTCTACAGGAAAATTGTTTACTGGCTCATGTGAAACAGGTATCTAATTCCTAGGGAACAGGCATCCACACCACAGATGGCTTCTCTTATCAGCAGAGTCAGAGAGGTCAAGGACTGAATGGGCCACAGACCCTGAACTGTCCCCTGGGCTGGAGCAGCGACATCTTGGCAAAACAAGCAGTAGTTATTCAAGGGATACAGGACTTCAGACTTCATGGTTATCAATTTGGCACCTTTCACTGGCACTAAGTTCACATGAACAAACATTAAATGAAGCCTGTTTTACTGACTTATGACCTTTACATGCAGGTGAAGTAGCAAATGCCAATTATCGGAGAATCAAAATTCACTCCCACTCCCCAGCTGCCAAATATCTTCAAAGAAATCAAACCCCACGAGATTGCAAAGCCACAAGCTGGTGCTAAGCTTAGGGTCTCGGACCATCCAGAACTCGACTCACTACCTGCTCAAAATATAGTAATTGCAAGGGTGGGAGGAGCAGAGGAGTGTCCAACACGGGGTTGAGAAGGACGGACCATCTCAGCAGTGACGTGGCCAGTCGCTGACGCTGTGTTCCTGTGCGGATGTTTTCTGTGGAAATTCTGGCTGAGATTTGGGACTATTTCTGGGAGCTTCAATAAAACCCTCCAGGGAGGGGCTTTTCGCTTTCAGTTCTAAACACAGTGCACACAGAATGCTAGTGCTGGCTGATCCGGATTAATCGCATTCAGAACAGCAGGTTGCCCAACTGCATATCACCAGGTTATTCAGAGCAGACCAGTCCCAGCGAGCCCACGTCCTAGCACAAATCCCTTTCCAGCACCACTGGCAGTGCAAGCCATCCACTCACCCATCTTTGGAGAGACGATACCGGAAGAAGTCATTGGCCGCTAGCTTGATGGCCTTTTCTGGTGTCACTAGAGTCAGGTTCACCGCAGCCCCTGGGAAAGAAACAAGAGGAAGGGAACACTGTAGCAGCCGGAAAGACTTGTTATCTGGACACATTCAGGAGGGCAGTGGATAAGCTTTAGTGGAGTTGAAGTCAAAACCAGGCTAGGAACAAAAGGGGGAAAGGTTTCAAAAGTGCCCAAGGGATTTAGACACATCCCACTGAAAGTCAACAAATGGGATTTCTGTGTCTAAACACATTGGGCTCTTTTGACACCCCCCCGGAAGTGTCTCAGTTCCACTTTAAACAAGCTTTTTATAATTCCCATGGAATTGGTGCAGCCCACCTCACACACACACACACACACACACCCCACTGAAGAAGTCAAAGGAAAGACTCCCATGGATTCCAGCAGGCTTTGGATCAGGCCCCCCAAGGAGGAAGGACACATTTTATTAGCCCTGCAGGAAGCCTGTTAATGCCTCTTCCCAGACAAGAAGCGTCAAGCTCCCCAGAACAAGACTGCCACACTTAATTTGCCTGCAAGTCAAGTAACATATACAGGCCAGAGGCTGTGAAAGGCTCAGGGCCTGATCCAAAGCCCACTGAAGTCAATAAAAGTCTCTCCAGAGACTTCAGTGGCTTTGGATCAGGCCCTTGGCTACGCGATTGCACTTGTATTTCCTTGTTGTCAGTGTCATCCTTCCAGCAGCCTCCCACTGGCCGCTTCGCCTAGCGCTTCACTCCTTGTCTGTAAGACATCACATCAGAGCGCCAGGACCAGTCCCAACCGGAGCCAGGAGACTGCCTCCCTCTGCGCTGGTACATAAACAGAGCTTCACACCCACTGTACTATTAAGTACGCTATTATTGAGAGCAACAAATGGCAAATCCCTATATTGTGGCTGCCACAATGAATGGCCTGCCCTGCTCTGTCCTCAGACTGACAGCTATGGAGACCAGTATTAGTGAAACACAGGGGCACCCTAACAGTATTTAAGTCACCCTGAAAGGGAAAATAAAACAGTTGCTGCACCCTGGCCTGAGCAAAAAGTCGTAATGTTTGGTTTGTTGCTTCAGAGCATTGAGCCTCCTAGTGACCTGTGTGTCAGAAAGGACCTCGAAGGGTCATGTTGTCCATTCCCATCCTGCACCGGGGCAGGATCGATCCCTAAGCCATTCTCAAGAGAGGGCACCCAGTTTAGGCCATCGGGCTCTCTGGCACCCACAATACTTGGGAAAGGTCTCTCATTCACTAAGCACTTTACAGAACAAAGCCCTACCACATGCCTGTGAGGAAGTGTTATTCCCATTTTAGGGATGGGGGCGCCCAGGCAGAGAAAGGTTAAGGCCTATATTTTCAAAAGGATCCACTGATCTCAGGTGCCAAACCTGACATATCTCCTGATTTTCATAGGTAATGAGCACCCAGAAATTCAGCCAGAGTCAATGAGAGCTGCAGGTGCTCAGTGCCTCTAAAAATTTGGCCCCATGTTTCTCAGGGTGGGCACCCAAAAACCACATTGCAGAACCCAAAATTAGCAGGCATTTTTGGAAAATGGAAGCCCTAAAGGACTCGCTCAAGGTCACAGAGTGAACCAGGGTCAGAGTTGGGACCAGAACTCCGGAATCCCTGGCTTCATGTCCTGTGCTCAGACAACACCGTTCTCCACACTGTGGAAAATCATCCTTGTAAACAAAGAGCCTTCACTGGTTCCTGCCAGATAGGACAGGCTTAGAGCCTCTCTCCAGCTACCATGAGTCTATGTTTGCTGGCAAAATCTTAAACACCTTCCTGGTAAGAGACAGACAGATCAATCTCCTCACTTCACCTCATCAATGAGCAACCATCAGATGGCAGTAACTTCCACAAGCATTACATCCAGGAGATTCTGTGCCGAGTCGCATACACTCTTACTGGGACTCTTGCAACATCCTCACAAGGCCAGATATTGGTTCAGTTTAAAAATGTTCCTCCTCCAGGGGCGTGAGCATGTGATCAATAATTGCAAACTCGACCCCCACCACCGACGCATGAATGTTTTCTCTTGGATTTCCCTAGTGACAGCCCCCAGAGTAAGTAGGCAGCCCGTTCACAAGGCCCCATTCTCAGATGTGTGCGCCTAAGGTAAGTTCCTATTCAAGTGCCCAAATGCAAGAGCTGGATAATTAACCAAGTTAAAACACACACACACACACACACACACACACACACACACACAGTTAAGGGGAGATTCTTGCAGCTGAGAAATACACCTCCTCACCTCCCACCTTATGTCACTAAATAACATTACCTAGGTAAAAGTAAGAAAACCAAATATCCACCTCCCAATTTAATATCTGTGCAGATGC